AAACCCTTCGCAGCGAGGTTGGTGTATATGGATTACACAACAAGTTGAATATGGATTAATTATTAAAAAAAATACTATTTGATAGGAATTAATACTGTTTTACATTCATTATTCTTATAAACAGAGCAATTTCTGTTGTTGTCGGGCTTGCAGTTTGTCTGAGTATCACCCGTTATCCACGGAGCAAAATCTCTGTATAACAATCTGATATTCTAGACGTGCAGATATACGCGGAGTCGACTTTACTAAATCGTGACGTCATCTCATTCCTAAATCAGGACTAAATGTAGTCCAGATTCTGGACGTGATTTTTTTTGTCACAGGCCCAGTAGCGCCCTCTCCGAATATCCACTCGCTTGTAATCTCTGCTATATTTATGTTACTGAAAGTAGCAAACACATCTCTGCAAAGATCCACCTGTCTCTTTTCTTGCTAATACGCCGTGACCTATCGAGGGTGAGTATACCAAAACTGACGATTTGTATTTAATTTAAGAGTGACAAGCGTTTAAAGTGGCCTGAAGTTTAATGAAAATGTGTAATTGTCGTAACAACGATTATTTTTCTTTCGAACCAGTGTGGAAATATCAACAGGAGCTTTCCCATGCTTTACTAGTTTTAGTCAACTCAGAAATTACAAAGGTTACACCCTTGGCTTGGCATCAGTAGGATAAACATTATCTGAATTCATTCATGCCAGTGTTTGAAGACGCTGCCCTGAATAAGCACGACCAACTTGAACTTCAATTGTCAGGTCCTAAAAGCTAAGGCTATTATTTCTGTATCATTGTGAACAATACATTTTTCATTCGGGCAGTTAATTACAGAATTTTGATGTGACATCTGCTCGAATTGGATCTGGTTTTGGTGCGAGAACAGACCTGCAGCATGCTACCAGTCGTAGATGATCCCGCAAGGGATGCAGTCTATCTGAACAAGGGAGAGAAAGTAAATCAGATTGCATTGGCAATATAACTGGTGGTTTGTGCCAATTTAGCCTTTTTGGAAACCAAGAACTGTGCATGCCATAGAGGGACAATCAGTAACCCACGCCTCATATTCAATCTTAGTGAGAACTTTGCCAAATAAGCAAAAAAGGCCGAAAGGTGTAAAACCGAAACTGTTCCCCGTTCAGTGTGAATGCCTCAGTGTATGCAGCCCCTGGTTCTGGGCGCCATGCTGCGAATTGGCACACCTGATGGTAATGTGAGGCATGAATCAATATCGGGCGTGCACAAATATTTTTCTGGATTCTTTGAACATGCCAGGATTAAGTTTCGACTCAGGTCGTCATGAACATTCTGTCGTCCTTATGCCCCAGACTGTGCCCTGCAACAACAAGTTCCCGTTAGTTGTTGATTGCCAACCGATACCAATCGATAACAATCTGATTTGTCTAGACGTGCAGATATATGCGGAAGTCGACTTTACTAAATCGTGACGTCATCTCATTCCTAAATCAGGACTAAATGTAGTCCAGATTCTGGACGTGATTTTTTTTTGTCACAGGCCCAGTAGGGCGCCCTCTCCGAATATCCACTCGCTTGTAATCTCTGCTATAATTTCTGTTACTGAAAGAAGAAACACATCTCTGCAAAGATCCACCTGTCTCTTTTCTTGCTAATACGCCGTGACCTATCGAGGTGAGTATACCAAAACTGACGTTTGTATTTATTTAAGAGTGACAAGCGTTTAAAGTGGCCTGAAGTTTAATGAAAATGTGTAATTGTCGTAAACAACGATTATTTTTCTTTCGAACCAGATGTGGAAATATCAACAGGAGCTTTCCCAGCTTTACTAGTTTTAGTCAACTCAGAAATTACAAAGGTTACACCCTTGGCTTGGCATCCGTAGGATAAACTTATCTGAATTCATTCATGCCAGTGTTTGAAGACGCTGCCCTGAATAAGCACGACCAACTGAACTTCAATTGTCAGGTCCTTAAAGCTAAGGCTATTATTTGCTATCATTGTGAACAATACATTTTTCATTCGGCAGTTAATTACAGAATTTCGATGTGACATCTGCTCGAATTGGATCTGTTTTTGTGCGAGAACAGACCTGCAGCATGCTACCAGTCGTAGATGATCCGCAAGGGATGCAGTCTATCTGAACAAGGGAGAGAAGTAAATCAGATTTACAATATACTGGTGGTTGTGCCAATTTAAGTTGTGCACAAAGAATTTTTCTGTGATTCTTTTAACAATGCCAGGATTCAGTTTCGACTCAAGGTCGTCATGAACATTCTGTCGTCCTTATGCCCCAGACTGTGCCCTGCAACAAACAAGTTCCCGTTAGTTGTTGATTGCCAACCGATACCCTCCCTTGCTTTCCACCATTTTTCAAGAACGAAAAAAGTCAGAGTTTTCTTTTTTTTTCCTAAAGACAAACTCATACCAAAGGAGCATTTGCTTTTGTTGATTTGTTTGATTGTTTGTCTGTTGGTTGGTTGTTTGGGGGTGTTGGGGTGTTGGGGTGTTTTTTGTTTGTTTGTTTGTTTGTTTGTTTGTTTGTTGGGGTTTTTGGGGTGTCAGTTTGTTTGTTTGACTAGAATATTTTTCAAAATTCTGTGTACACTGTTAAAAAGTTGGTTATAACGGCTTACAACACTGAAAAACATTTGTGAAAATCAACGAAAAGAACAGAGAAACAAAACGTTACAATGTAGCAAACGAATTTAATGCAAATTTATCTTATTTGGGCTGAAAATTTCTTTCTTTCACGTCTAGTATCAAAGAGATGGGTATAGATATGGACTCCGTAGATACGGCAACAGGATCCGAAGACAAGCCTCTCCTCGAAGCTGAAAAGGGTAACCAGAGATTTCCTTGGGTTTCCCTGGCCATCTTTCTGGTTCTGCAAATTCTTTCGCCGTTCCAGAGGGCATGCTGCAAACCCTCTCGGTGCAGTTCGCTCGCTCGGCGTTTGCCAGCGAACGGAACGTCACCCTCCCGGTGGGAGTCAACGCGTGTGCGACCAGTCCCCACGATAGCAGTGAGCTCGCCGACGTCCAGGCGGCCGTCGCCCTCTTTGCTACCTATCAGAGCTGCTTGAAGGATTTCATCCCATTTCTGACCGCCCCTGCCACTTATTGCCCTGGCTGACTTCACCGGCCGCCGGCCCGTACTGCTTTCGATATGCCTCGGTGGACTAGTCGAGGCTACTGGCTTCCTGATCGTCTCCTTCTTTGAGATATCCGTTTATTACACTCTCGTTGGCTCTGCAGTTTTCGGCGTTTGTGGGGGGTTTATACTGCTGAATTCCATCAGCATGCTTTACGTCATAGACATTGTCCCCAAGAACACAGGGGGGTTGCACTGGCGATGATCTACGCGTTTTGAGAGTGCTGTCATTTATCTGGGCCCTTTGGTGATTAATGTATTACTTGAGGCTCTGTCTTCGTATACGATATGTTTCTTGATACCAGCTTGCTCCGCGCTGTTGGCGTGCCTGTGGTTGCTGCCTCCTAATCTAGTTCAGGAATCCGTCAAGAAGCAGCCGCTTGACCTGGGAGTGGTTCGGGCATCGGTCGCGGCATCTGCCGTCTTTTTACAGACACATTCAGCGTCCGACTCGTAGTCCTCTTGGCATGCGATTCGGTAGTCAACCTCCTGGTTGAAGCTTCGACAACACCGTGTCTCTGTACGGCTTGGGTGAGCCGTTCTGCTGGTCGCCGACCCTCCTAGGTGTGTTTTCGGTCGTACATGGTGTCCCACACTCACTCGGTAAGAATATTCAGGATTCGATTCCGTAGGATTGCGAGCCAAGATTTTCATTTCAAGCTGGGGCAATTTTATACAGGGTGTCCCCCAAAAGGTACAACCCACAAACCAAGGGATAATATGATCAATCTACGAACATAAAGACCATTGAACTTTGGTTTTATCATAAAGTAGGCAGTAAGCTTACCATTGATATCTTGGATGGATGTATACCTCTGGTCATGCAGCACTGAGTTCCATTGTTTTAAACATGGTATGTAAAAACCTCTATAGTTTGGGAGTAAAACAATGATTGTGAACACAACCAGACACAAGACAAGTAGCTTCAAGGGATGATTCAAGAAACAACTCCCAAAGAAAGGTCGTACGCGCCCCCTGGCTGGTGGTATTCTACTTTTGCTAAGCAAATCTCTTCTGTACAGGGTGAGTAAGAAAATGAAACCCAAATGTCGGGATACTGTTTAGTGAAGTTCTGCATGTAGCACTTTCAAAAATTCGGATATCAAAGCCCAATTCATAAACTTTCTTTTAGGGGCCATTCAGAATTTTCAGTTTTTAAAATTTCGATCTTTTTTCCAATTGTGGGTGGGTGGGTCAAGCTAAATAATTGAAAATCGAAATTCACTTTCCATGAAAAAAAAAAAGAAAAAGAAAAAGAAAGATAGATCTTTTGACTTGCCTGAACTACACGCAAACGTTCCGATATCGCGATGCGTGTTACTTTTCCAACTTCGTCCCCTGTACATGTACTGTCAGTGGCATAGCCAGGAATTTTTCAGTGTGTTTGTGGGGGGGGGGGGGACTTGAACATTTCATGGGGGGGGGGGCGTCATGTAGACAATGATAATTTTTTCGAAACTCAAAATCTCAGTGGGGAGGCGACTGGGGGGTGGGCGACAAGGTTTTCATGGGGGGGGACTGTCGCCTCCCACCCCCCCCCCCCCCCCCGTGGCTACGCCACTGCAGGTCATACAGTTAAAGTTTATGTAAACTTGTATGAAAAGTCAAAGAAAAGTAACTCTCATGATCTATTTGACACCAAGTTTGTGTTAACTTGCCGGTAACGCCCTAAAAAATTATCCAGACAAATATGTTTATTTTGTAACATTATGTTCGTCTGTCGGTCTTCTATGCTGTTATGTTTACTTTTAGGTACCTTCAATGGTACTATGTTTAATTAACCTGTTCATTTTGTTTAATTAAACTAATAACGCACATATAGTTGCCAATATGGCAGTAACAAGTATGAGGTCGGCAATTTCGTCTTTAAAAATCTTGGTACGTCGGGTTACCGTACACACAATTGTCCTGGAAACAACAGTACCAAAGTACAGAAAGTCGTACGCAAGAGCTCCCCAGCAAGTATCGCTGACGCCATTAGGCCTATGATTCCAACATTTCTCACTGTGTCACACAGTGAAATAACTAAAAAGCGTCGTTTGTATTGTGGACACATAAAAGCATTCAAGTCGCGTTCTTGCACACTTTCTGCAAGTCGACTGGATATCCTTGAACCACTGCCCCTGCTTTGCATAACAAGTGCACATGAATGAACGATTCGACTTTTATTCAAAGAAATTTCTATGTACAGTCACCAGACTCAAAGTAAACAATCCACGTGCATAACGCACGGCTACACCATCGTACAGTGTGGCAGGGACACCAACAAGTAAAACAACAATTAAAATAAACATTTTTTTTTAAATGGATAAATATTCTGATTGAATTTCGTTAAAAGATACTTGTTGTTGGTGTTCATATATTTTTATCACATAAAAGAGGATGACCAACAACTTCACGCCGTCACTCACTGACTAGACACACATGTACATGGTGTTCAAGAACATGTACATGCAAGTGCAGTACATGTACAGTCATGTTCAGTTTTTTTATTAATCGAAATTAGGGGTGGGTGGGTGGGTCAAAATAATTTGGAAAAAAGTCGAAATTTTAAAACATTGAAAATTCTGAATGGCCCCTTAGTACAAGAATCATTCAAATCAATCACGTACTCATGTGACGGAAATTTAAACACAACCACCGTTTTAAAGTTCTGTCCAAGGATAAAAAAAAAGGTTTTGCGTTCTTTTAGCAAAACGAAAACAATTCACATACATCCCTATGTAATTTGTTTTCGTTTTGCTGAAACAACTCTTAGCTTTTGTGATCCGTGGACGGAACATTAAAACTGCGGTCGTGTTTAAAATTCCGTAACTTGAAATTACATGGTGTGGTGTGATGATGATTCTTGTACTAAAAGAAAAGCTTATGAATTGGGCGTTTATATCCTACATTTTGAAAGTGCTATACATGCAGGACTTTACTGAAACAATGGTCCCGACATTTGGGTTTCGGTTTCATTTTACTCGCCCTGTACTTAGCGAAATCCTGAGTTAAGCTCCGTGAAAATTCCCATGAATGTTTTAGCGTAACAAAAGCTTTACTTTATTTCTATTTTTTTCCAGCGGCACCATTAATCGTGTGGGTGATTGAGTTATTTCTCTCCGATTACTGGTTGATATACATAAGCATTCTGTCATCTATCGCGCAATTTCTATTAACAGCAGTGGCAACAAGTAACGAAGTCTTGATCTACGGAGGTAAGAAATTAAAAGATCTCAGAATGCAAGTAAAAGTTAGTGCAAAGATCAAATCATTTCCCCGGTGGGGAAAAAAATCACTTGTCGGGCTGTCTGAAGACTCACTCTGTTAAAATGTATTCTTCGAGTTCCGCACGAAAAAAAAAATCAGTGTTCTTCATGCATCCCCTAGCTTCTGCACAGACTTCAGGGAGCAGTGGCGTAGCTACGGGGGGGGGGGGGGCGTGGGGGTGAAACGTTGTTGCCCCCCCCCGAGTCGCCCCTCCCATGAGATTTTGAGTTTCGAAAAAATTATCATTGATCTACATGACGCCCCCCCCCCCCCATGAAATGTTCCCCCCCCCCCCCTCCCCCCCCGCGCCCCCCCCCTCCCCCCCCCCCCCCCAACTGAAAATTCCTGGCTACGCCACTGAGTGTATGTCACATGGTGCTAGCGTAAATCCAATATAATTCATTTCAATTTTCAAGTCTTCATAAGGTACGTTGGTAGCACCATGTGACAAAATCTCTTTTGTGAGAATGTGTGGTTCTGTAAAGAACCGGAGGGTACTCAACGTTTCGGACAGCATGCTCTATGTGTCTCCTGACGACGGGCAGAGCATACCGTCGGAAACGTTGACTACTGTCTGGTTCTTTTCAGAACCACACAAACTCACAAAAGAGATTCAGCCACATGGTGCTACCGCATCAACTTACCTTATTATTACCCTTCACCATGCAAACCTTCCAATCTCATTGCAAAAGTCTTCCTTTTAGATATCAGCTTTTACATGGAATAAAAACACTTCTAA